GGTTTGGGAAATGTCATATGAAATGGTGGCACCAGGAAGGCCTTCACGGCATGGCCCTTGGATCAGTTTGGGTTACAGCCACAGCCCTGTGGCCCAGAAGTGCACGGGGCCGCCTGGCTGGTCTCCTGTGGGCCTCTGCCCTGAAGGGTGCCGGGGGTGTCTGCGTGATCACCACCACTCCGCGGGTGGCACCACTCTGAGCGAGACACACGGAGAGCCCCGGCCTCTCTCTGCCAGCTCGAAAGCCGGCACGTGGACCAGACGGCGTTCCTTGTGTGTGAGGCCACGGTGGCACCTCAGCTGACATGACCCCATCCTGCACAGACAAGGTTCCTTCCAACATCTCTGCATCGACCTCAAGTTCACCTCCCGTAAGAAACATGGCAACAAGTGGCCTGGTACCAAGGCCAAAGCTACATTAACACGACCGTTTTTACGAATTTTTTTGCAACGGCAAAAAACAAACAAGAAGGGGCGCATGGGGGGCTCAGTTGGGTAAGCATCCGATCCTTGGTTCCGCTCAGGTCATGATCTGGCGGTTTGTGAGTTCAAGCCCCGCGTTGGGCTGTGCGCCGACAGCACAGAGCCTGCTTGAGATTCTCTGTCTCCCTTTCTGCCCCTCCCCACTGGTACACACTCTCTCTTCCACTCTCTCTGAAAATAAGTAAATAAGCTTAAAAACACAACATCTACAACGAACAAAGATTTGGTTTTGTTTCTCAACACAGACTTACATCCTGTTTTACAAGCTCATGATGGTTTACGTTCCCAGGACTTCCGAACGTCTGACTGAGGGACGTCGTTCTGGAGATGGGTGGGTGCTGTGTGAATTCCGTACACACCACAGAGCACAGGTGCACAGGCACCGTCAGACGTGAGGGGGCCAGCGGACGCGGCTGAAGGATGAGATCCTCAGCACCGTTCACAACCGCCATCAACGGGCGACAAGCTGGGGGGTGTCCACATGCTCGCGGTAGATACTCCAACAGAGGCAGGGAGCGGGGGCAGCACAGAGCCTCTAAGAGTGGGACGCAACGCTTCAGCAGGGTCCCTCTCTCTGCACCGGTACCCGGAACACCCCACAGGCAGCAGACGGGGCCTAGCCGCTGGCTAACCCGGGATTAGCTGCTGGTTAACCCGGGATTAGCTGCTGGCTAACCCGGGATTAGCTGCTGGCTAACCCAGGACCACTTAATCCAGGATGGCAGCAGGAACCAGGATACCAAACCCCATCCTCAGTTTTGCTTCGTAATTCACAAATCATCTTCAGTCTGGTTTAATTTGCTGACTTCCCCTAGGATGTGGTCATTGAGTATTTCTTTTTAAATTATACTGATTTTACTTTTTTTTTAATCCTAATTTGGCCATCATACGTGGCCACGTCCCTCCTGGAAGGCAATGCGTTCGCTCCGTGGGGACACAGAAAGGCTGACTTCACGTGACCTCTCAGAACTTCTCCGTCAAAACAGTCTCCCTGGAATATTCTAGACAAAGCAGCAAAACGTGCCGCTTGCATCGTGGGGTAAGTAACTGAGTGGGAGCCCCAAGGAGCAAGGCCCCGTTACACGCTTTCGCTGTAAATTCTACACTAGCAATCTGCTCTCCAAGGTGTGTGTGCTCATCCGGAGGCTGCGTTATCCCGTGTTCGACCGCGTGAGGGCCGATGTGCTGTACGTCACGGAGCCTGGGTGTGATGGTTTTCAGAACAGAGCTCTACCCAGAGGCAGCAGACGTGGCCCACACAGCACAGCCACGTCCTCCTCCAGGAAAAGCACGCTGGGGCCTCCAAGAATTATTCAGGTTATGTGAAGTTCTGTTAACTCCCAAAAAAGGTGTAAATTACCAGTGCATCAATTTTGTGTTAGATTTTTGTTCTTTCTGGCTTGGGCAGTCTTCATCTCCAGAACCTACTGGAATTTCATTGTCCGGTAAGGGCACAAAAGGGTAACTTCACATATTTCTGCCACGTGTACACAGCGAAACCCATGTGGGCAACCCATGAACACGACTCTCAGACGGAGGCTCCGGGTACGTGCCAGCACTCCGGGACGTGCAGGAGTGTGGGAAAGCCGCCGGCAGTCACAGGCACCAGTGTCCAGAGAACGACACAGCCCAGCGGCCTCCAACCGGCACACCTCCGTGCCTATAGCGTGAACACCGAGTCCCCCGAAGCCGCAGCCAACTAACGCTTGTCTCCAGGAAGCACCGGCCTGAGGGTAAGACCACCGGTAAAAGTTCAAGGGAAGACGTGGGGCTTGGGCCTTCTCATTCTCTACATCACAAAATGCAACGAGAATCAGACCAATTTGGGGGCACCTGGGTGGCTCAGTCGGTTGATGTGGACTCCGGTCATGTCTCAGGGTCGTGAATTTGAGCCTTTGCATCAGGCTCTGTGCTGATAGCCTGGAGCCTGCCTGGGGTTCGCTCTCTCTCCGCCCCTCCCCTGCTCTAGTGCGCGCCGGCTTGCTCTCTCTCTCTCTCTCTCAAAATAAATAAATAAACCCAAAAATTTTTTTAAACATCAGACCAATTCTGGACCACGTCTTTCTGAGGACTGTACCCCACAGCCACTGAGGAGACGAGACAAAGACAACAACATTCCGAGCGTAGCGGACTTTGCTCTAACCACCCACCCCCCTCCAAGGCCGCTACACAACCTTCACGGAGAGTCTGAGACGCAGGTCAGGCGTAAGATGCCCCCGGACGTTGGTGAAATTCGGGAGAACACGCGTCACCCGAAGGCTCCCGCCCCGATCTGGCCTGGAGGCTTGCTGGTTCTCCACAGCCTGACGGCGACACGGAAATGAAGACCCACGACCGAGGGGACGTGTGCTGTGACCACAAGGACAGAGCCGAGCCCCGTCGGACACCGGCGTCCGGCCTGTGGAGGGTGGGCTCGGGGAAGCGTCTCACCGCACAGCCTCTCAGTCCCACCAGAGCCCAGGTGGGTCTGTGACAGCACAGGAGAGCCACGCAGAGGGAGGCAAGAGAGTCATTGACTGGAGGGTGAAACCAGTCACGAAAACGCTCGTGAGAAATGAAGGAAACACCCCCCTGTGTGGGTCTGTAAACGCAGCGTGGACGTGAGGGCAAGTGAGGACAGGGACAGAGCTCAGCCCTACAAGAAGGGGCCCAGCCCGTGGCACTCGTGGGCTAGCCTGTGGGGGGTCTGGAACCGCCTTGACCTTGAGCAACAAGGGCAAGATGGCAGCAGGTCTGGGGCTCCCCTGGGGCTGCTTGGCCAGTGAGGCCAGCAGGGCCGCGGGGTCAGGACTCTGGGGGCTCAGAGGGCAGTCCCCCGGACGGGCCGGCCACTCACGGGCACGACAAGAGCCTGCCCGACACACCATCTGATACGACGGATCCAGACTGCACACACCTGCTCCACCACCTGGTGTGCAAAAGGGAACACACCAGGTCCCCAGGGAAGTGCCCGTAAACCAGCGTTTTCTTATACGCAAGCTCATAAATTGTGTCAATCTGTGCTCCTCGCAAAACAAAAGCGCCCTATGTTACTTAAGAAACGATTTGTACACAGCTCGTCCTATGGATTAAATCTCCCGACCACCACACACGCGTGCACATGTGGAAACCATGAAGTGGAGAATGCGTTAGCTTGGTTGCGGCGAGCCCTTCACGACGTGCACACGTGTGCAAACAACAAGCCACATGGCCGGTGCAGTTTTACGTGCCAGTCACCCCAGTACAGACACGAAACACAACCAGGGAGCAGCTGTCCCTTGCTTGCCGAGCCCCAAACAAACGTGTCTTGTCACCGTCCCCGCTTCCCACTGTCCTCTCTGCCCCCAGCCGGCCCGGCCCACCTTCCAACTGCAGTGTACTTCCCCTGGTCAGAGGCCAGCCTTTCTGGAACCTGAACCCAGACTATTCATTTCTCAATGTGTCAACGGTGACCGTTCCTCCAGTACCTTCCGCTCAAGCTACAGACATCTTCAACACTGTCACTGACCCATCTGCCACCAACCCACCAAGTAGCCACCAACCCACCGGCAACCCACCACCAAATCTGCCCTGAGTCTGTAAGAATCTGAGAACTTGTTTCACTACCGACATGAGCAGGGGACCCAGACAACTTCTAAGAGCTTTTTTCCACGCTTAAGTACTTGCAGAATTTAAATGTCATCCGACACGTAATCCCGATTAAGAGGCAACTTGATCGGGGTTCTCTAACCTGCTCAGCCTTTCGTGAACTTTTCCAAAGTGAATCCTAAATTCAGTGCCTTTACTATCCTGGTTCTCCCTGCTCTCAAACACCAGCAGCAGAGCTCCTCCTTCACACATACACACACACACACACATGCACAGGCGTGGTGCACACACCACACCCACACTCACCCACACCCACACTCACGTGTGCAAGCACGCTCACGTACACACAACAGCACTCCAGGTACACACACACTCTCACCGCCTGCGAGCACCCATGCACACAACACCCCCAGGTGCATACAATGTGTGCACACGCACACACACCGGCACTCAGGCTGTGCGCGTGGCCGTCCCCCGCCCGGTGCTCCTCTCCTGGCCGCTTGGATACGCACTGCAGGGCTCTCTGCGCTCCTGACGCCCCCTCTGACTCTGCACAACCCTCTCACCTCCTGACGGTGGTACCTGACTCTGTCTGCCCTGTCCCCCTGTCCCTCATCGCTCGCCGGGAGGGCAAAGTCCCACACAGGCCCCTTTCCCGACTCGTCGTCCGCATGCCAGCCCCTCCTTCCAATTTCCCACGGGGCTCCTTCGCTCAGCACCACACATGCTAGCTTCCTCCAAGCCGGCTCTGTGGGACCCAGTGTCGCTGATGACTTTACGTTCTTCCCGAAAACCCAGGCCCCAAATCTCAGGCTTTCTGGCCCTTCCTCTCCCCAGTCGGTCCCGCCGCAGGTGACTCTGCTCACTGCCGCTTGCCGGGGTGCGTCCCTCGGGACCACAGGACGGCCCGCCACCCTCCCGTCCTCGCAGCCCGCTGCCGGGAAGCCCCTTCCACACTCATGACCGCACAACCTTCCCAGCCTCCTCCTTCCCTCTGCCCCTCCGCCCTTGCACAGCAGCCACCTGCTTACGCATGTCCGTCACACGTGGACGTGCCCCGGCTACAAGCCCGTACACACCAGCGATGCGTTCCGTGTACGACCTACACGCATGCAGGCACCAGGTACGCGCTCACACACACTAGCTGCACGTTCGTTTATACATGACATACACACACGTTAACTACACGCCTATATGTACCAGATATGGGAATACATTCTAGCTCCATGGGTGTCCATACCAGCTACACGAAATACAAACGTATACATATTGGCTAGAAACTTATACACACTGGCCACACACCGGCAACATGGTCCTCGCATGCGCTAGATGCCTGTTTGCACTTACTGGCTACACGCTTATGTACACACTTGCATATGTGTTTATGCAGACACATATGTATGTACACACACTAGCTACACGTTCACACGTGCCAGCCACGTGCACACACATACCA